ACGGACACCTGGACCTGTTCCTGCGCTTCCTCCTGGGGCTGTCTCTGCCGACCAATCAGAGGCTGCTGCAGGGTCTGCTGACTCACACAGGAAGTGACCCGACCAATCAGGAGACAGTAAAGTTCATCAAACAGAAGCTGGATGAAGAGGGTCTGTCTGCAGAGAGAAGTCTGAACCTGCTCCACTGTCTGAACGAGCTCAACGATGGCAGTTTGGTGCAGGAGATACAGAAGAACATGAGAAGATACCTCTCTGATGGAACCATGTCTCCTGCTCAGTGGTCTGCTCTGTCCTTCATCTTACTGTCCTCAGACTCAGACCTGGAGGAGTTTGACCTGAGGAAATACCAGGCCTCAGAGAACGCTCTCCTGGGTCTGCTGCCGGTGGTCAGAGCCTCCACCAAAGACTGTATTTAAACTCTTGTGTGGAGGTAGAGTCTCAGACTGTATTTAAACTCTTGTGTGGAGGTTCTAGTCTCTAATGTCCCTCTCTGTCCTCAGTCTTTGTGGCTGTGGTCTGTCTCCTCACAGCTGTGCTCCTCTGGCCTCAGTCCTCAGCTCCTCCAGTCTCACACATCTGGATCTCAGTCACAACGACCTCCAGGACTCAGGAGTGGAGCTGCTGTGTTCTGGACTGAAGAGCGCCCCCTGCAGACTGGAGACGCTCAGGTGAGACGCTCCCATGATGCACTCTGCCCCCTTGTGTCCACATGAGTGTAATGCTGTGTCTTTAGGCTGTCTGGATGTCTGGTCTCAGAGAGGGGCGGGGCTGCTCTGGCCTCAGCTCTGAGCTCCGCCCCCTCCCACCTCAGAGAGTTCGACCTGAGCTACAACCATCCAGGACCCTCCGCCGAGCTCCTGACCGCTCTACAGGACCAGCGCCCCCTGCTGTCTGTCAGGTGTCTGGTGAGTCCTGGACTGGTCACTGGTCTGGTCCTGGTCTGGTCTGGTCTGGTCCTGGTCTGGTCCTGGTCTGGTCCTGGTCTGGTCCTGGTCTGGTCTGGTCTAAACTGGACTTGTGTGTGTGTTTCAGGTTGGATCCTGCTGGAGAGCGCTGGATGGTTCCAGGTCTGAGGAAGTGTGAGTTTGGTTTTGTTTGATAAAAGTGTCTTTAGTTTGTCACATTTCTGTCTCTTCTGATGTGGTCCAAACTGAGGAGATGTTCAGGAG